AAGTAAAAGGAGAATCGTCTTTAGGTGTTCTTACGAGAGCACAACAAAAGGTGAAGCAGACTGTACTATTCTCTAAACTTGAGTATTGCGTGTTCAATTTGTTTATCTCCAAATCTAAAAATGTTCAAATTTCTCTTGATCATTCTGATTCGGTGCAAGCAATGAAGGACGAGCTCAATGAATTTGAACAAAACAAGGTATAAAATGGGTATTTTGTAACAAGCTGGACAAAGAGGGAAATATGATACGAAACAAGGCGCAACTAGTTGTTAAGGGATATTTCCAAGAAGAAGGCATTGACTACAAAGAAACTTTCGCACCAGTTGCAAGGCTGGAATTAGTTCGCATCTTTCTGGCATACGCAGCTCACAAGTACCTCGAAGTCTTTCAAATGGACGTCAAGTGTGCCTTTCTAAATGGGTAACTAGGATAAACAGTGTACGTCTAACAACCACAAGCGTTCATAAACGAAAAGTATCCCAATCACTGTTACATTCTGGACAAAGAGGTTTATGGTCTAAATCAAGCTCCAAAAGCTTGGTATGAAACTCTTCCTCACCTTTTAAAACATGCTAAATTTAAACAAGGATCAGTCGAACCAACCTTCTTTCGCAAGAAAGATGGTGACCAGTTGATGATTTTCAAAATTTACGTTGATGACATCATCATCGGATCGACTAACCCCATCTTAACTGTTGAGTTCTGAAAGTTAATGGAAAGTAAGTTTGAGGGTCTGATTAACTTTTTCCTTGGTTTGAATATAAGACAGAGTCAGGAAGTTATCTTTATCAATCAGGAGGCTTATGCAAAGACCTTACTTTCTAAGTTTCGAATGGTGGGAGATTCGAAGGTGAAGGTTCCAACGGTATTTAGAACGAAACTAACATCGTATTTGGACAAACCAACTGCTAATATGATACTCTATCATCAAATGCTATGTTTATTAATGTATGTAACATCTAGTCGTCCAGAGATCATGTTTTTTGTTTACTATTGTGTTAGGTTACAAGCGAATCCTCACAAAACCCGCATGACTGTTGTAGCGAACATATTCAGGTATCTCAAATGAACATCCTCACTCGGAATATGGTACCCTTCAAGTTCAGGTTTCTTTGTGGAAGAATTTTTGGATGCTGATCTCGAAGGTCATGGTTTGGATCGAAAAAGTACAATGGGAGGATGTCAATTTCTAGATGGCAAACTCGTAAGTTGGCAATCTAAAAAGAAATTTGCGTGTCCCTATCAACTACTGAAGCAGAGTACATAGTTGCTGCCACTTGTACTTCACAAGTCATTTGGGAGGGATTTTGAAAGCACCATTCATATATGTCACAACCCAGTGCAACATTTAGAGAACAAACACATTGTACTGAGGTATCACTTTATCAAAGATCATGTGGAAGATGGAAATGTTCAGATAGACCTTGTTAGATCTGCTGATCAGCTGGCCGACATATTCACAAAATCCTTGCCTGAACAAACCTTTGATCGCATTCTTCAAGGCTTTTGAATCATTAAGGCTAAATCTCTTCCGAAACCACCTTCACACTCATAAGGTTTTGATAGACCTATGAATTGGTGTGAACATTCACAATGACTCACAGTCCACTATTCACACAGCGAATTGGTGTGAATGTTCATAATGACTCTCAGTCTACTATTTATTTATGGTTCAAAATATCATGTATGCTTTGTATATTTTATTTATTGCTATTTTATTTATTTCTTTTCCATAAAATCCAAAAATATTTTATTTCTTTCTATTTTTATTTCTTTTTCAGAATAACAAAAATACAAAAATATTTTTTTTATTTTCATTACTTATTTCTTTTCATAAAATATTCAAAAATACCAAAAATATTAGATAATTGAGCAGGTTTGAAGGAATATATCTTGGTGATCTCAATTATGAATAATGGGGTAGATATAAATTTCCTAATCTATGCACTAGTTAAGTGCCTCTAGAAGCATGTTGTTGCATGTAGTCTGAAGCCTCAAAGACTCTATGTTGAAGCCTTATTGAATCAATAACACCGATTGAGTGAAGCCACAAATTGAGTGAAACCCAAACTCCAACACATATTTACGAATTGACGATGAACAATTTTAATGTTCTAGCTTATTCACGAACGAATTAACAAATGACCACCTTCATGGTTTGTACCCTAAAATCTATTTTTATTTTTGTGCGGTCTTAATGAAATGCTCTAGTCCAAATATGTTTCTTCCCAATAGATCCAATTTTTTTACTTTTTCTTGGCATTTCTATACTTATCCAAGTTACTTAAAATAATTCCCAAGCATACTTGTTCATATAACTAAACTGGTGAGACAAGTACCTCATCTGAACGTTCAGATTTATGTCAAGTTTCATATTTTGGATGAAGTTGAATCCACCCTTAAAGCTTAATGAAAAGAAGCCTTTCACTATTTCTCAAAAAACAGGTGATCGTATTTCAACGGGACACCACACAGACACTTTAGAGTCTCTCTTGACTCTGAAAGAAGCTATCATTGTCTGGAATCAATCGACTTTATGTCTTAAACGGACATCACTAGACTCTTATATAAAAATGTTCATTTATTTCTTTATCTTTGGTACACTCTGAAGATCCTAATGATTTTCCAAAGTCTGGTTCGTGGTACTCATGATTATTTTTAGTTTCGCGGAAGAATTGATGGTGATTAATTGCAAAAGGGTGTAACCGAATAAGTTGTGAAAGTGTTTAATTGAAATGGCATATTAAAAGGATAATATTTGGGCACATAAAAATTTGAAACTAACACTGATGTCAAGCCTCCTGACACACGTTACCTCACATCACAGTTGTCACTCATGCTTTTTAAGACGACTTTTCAGTGGTTTGATTCAACCAACCCCCGAATTTCTTTCTCCTATCAAATGGTATAAATGATTTTAACGATTGATTATTCATTACCACTTTCAAAAGAACTCAAAATACTCTCAGCGATTTCTCTCTCTACTTTTCATCTCCTTCTCCACTAAGCATCCATGGTAGCATCCTTAGAAACCCCTTCTATCGCAAAACAAATGGCTTAATCCTCACTTCCCAACATCAATGCTTACTACACTCTCATTATGGACCTTGATCTTGCCAAACACGATGGTTTTCTTTAACCTCTCATCGAGTGTCTCCGTTATTCACCACTGGTCATCACATTGACGAAATCAGAAATCATACCCTTGGTTCATCAATCCAAGGCGTATTTGACTGCAAACTATCAACAAGGGGAAGAACAAATAACTTTTGAAGTTGACAAAAAGAAAACCCGCATCAAGTCATGGATCTATAGCTTGTTAGGGCTTCCATAAGGGTGTGATCTAGTTGATCCAGAATCCATCTCAAACTCTGCAATCTTGGAGATGTTTTTCCAAATGGGATACAAGGAGGTTTTCACCGCCATCCCTAAGTTCAAGAAGTCAAATCTGCCACTAATATGGAATGGTCTTTTTACCCTTCTCTTTAAAAGCTTCTCTGAGAGGGTAACCGTCTTAGAAAGTGCAATCAAGTTGTTTATCCCGATAATGCACGACATTTACTCAAGAGTCAATCTTGACTATGGGACAGCACTTTGGGCCCAATTTGTATAGAGTACTCTTTTGACTGCACGACACAACGAGATTTCCTATGCTCATTTTTAGACTCTTGCGGTTCAAAGGGCTATTGATTGGCTCAACATCCCGATCTTTGAGGGTTCCGCTATGGTGAATATTCAGATTTTCCACACTACCAACATCATCTTGACGGATACTTCATGATTCACATTCATCGGCTCCATCCTTGAGGCAATGCTTCACAATGTTCCTGCAGCGAGTGAAGTCATGCAAACCTATCACAATCTACTGGGCTCCGTTCTTCAACCAATAACCGATATTGTTCCCATGGTTCTTTAGGAGGCCGACAAACCAAAGAAGGGTGAAAAGAAAATAATTGTGAAATCTAGTCCATCTGAAACCACCCAGACCACTAAGAAGAAGGTTTGCAAGCCATGAACTCTAACGCCAAGTAACAACAAAGATTTGCAGTCCAACACGGTATCATAAATTCTAGTGCAAGATGATGTTCACCTCGATCATGATGATACTGCTGCAACTTCGCATCCCCAGGTCTCGCAGCCAGTCACTTCTAATCTTTGAGGTAACTTTTCAAATGCCAACATCTGTTCTTCTTACAAATGACTTTTTCCAAAGTTTTACTCCTCCTCACTCTCCTATTACCACTACCACTCTCATCACTATTGCTTCATGTCCAACTATGGGAGTTTCGCAACCTCAGGCCATTGTTGCAGAATCCACTCCATTGTTTACTGATTCGACTGTGACCACAACCACAACCACTAGTGAACCTCCAGTTTCTATCAATGCCTTTGATGTGGGGGCAGGTGCTTTAGGTTTTACTCTTGGTCATTCTATACCTCCCATCTCACCTCTACGTGAAGATGATCCAGATACCGTTTATGGTGATGATGAAGATGTTTTTGGAGGGTTTACCTACAGTCTGTTCAATATCCTGATAGAGAGTGATGATGAAGCTCTGGTAACTAGAGGGCAGTTCAAGTCACTGACAGAAAAGTTGGATTCCATAATCAAGTCCACCAAAACATCCTCTAATGGTGACTACTCTCAAGAAACTATCAAGGCCTTCTTTGAAACACTAACAAAGGAACACTCTGCAAACCTTGACAAAATAAATCAATCTATTGAGGCTTCAACTTCTGTATACAAAGAAACGGATGAAAAAGTCGATAAACTAATCACTGGTGCTCAATCTATTATGAGTAATTTCTAGACATCTTTCGAAACAAATACGGGGAAGGCAAATACATTAATAAACAATCTTGGCAATACACTTCAGACAACGAAGAATGCTCTAGAAAAGGTTTGTACTAGCATACAATCTGAAAATTCAAAGATTAACACCTTCATCTCATCCAAAATCGAGAAGATTTAGGATGACTTAGCCATAGAAAGCAAGATAATGGATGTTCTTTCCAGTAGGATAGCGAAAGTAAAGGTGTTACATGTCCAGCTCACTAATTCCAACTTGCAAATCGATGAACTCAAATATGAGAAGGCAGTCATGAAAAGTTGCATTGCTGATGCGAACTGTTATCTGTCCAATCTTATTGAGATGCATGATTCTCTTCTCATGGTCAACGTAAGACAACATCTGGCTAAGAAGCTTAAGCCAGTTTTGGCAATGCTTAACAGGTTAGAAGGTGCTTCGGAATCAATCTCACTTTCGAAAGAAGGGTGAGAGCAATCTACAAAAGAACCTATGAAAATTGTTGGACCTTCAAATGAAACTGAAAATGAAGAAAAGTCAAAATCAACAAACGAACCGAAGCATAATGAAGCTTCAGGTCCAAAAGGAAAAGAAAAACCTGTCAATGAAGAAGATGAAGAAGAAGAAGAAGAAGACAAAACCGAGAAACTTAAGTGAAAAGCTGGTGATGAAATCATCGATGAAAACTTACAAATCGAAAGAGAGGTAGAAGAGAAAGAGAAAGTTGAACGTGAAGCTCAAGTCACTTTGGAAAGCAGGAAGCTTTTATTTCCATTGTAGACTTTGGAGCAAATTATGAATGAGGCTATAGATAATCCAAGCCAATATTGGTTAGAGCCTCTTGCATCTTTCGACTTGTTGAACAGACAAGATTCACAACTGGATCTTCCAATCACACCGAAATCCTTCATGTACCTTAGGTTCATCAAAGTTATGAATGTGATGCTGACTGACAATGGTGCTGATCATTTGCTCTTATCGTTATACTTAAAGCATATGAGGCCTCAATATGAAACCTAGAGTGCGAAAAAGATAACAGTTGTGAAGGTTTCAGTGTCGATTGAAACCTATAGCTTCCCGAACAATTGTTGCAAGGTTTCTAGAGGTGCTACAAGTCAGGTATGCGAGTTCACACATGCTGATATACCTTGCATGAACCCGTACGATTGGATTTTGTTGCTCAATTTGTTGCTCAAGGATGAACAAAAGTATGAACCCATTTTTGCTCATCTCAAATGAATGTTAGTTTTTTACATTCAATAGGTTGGCAAAATGGACATTGAGATTGCAAGATTTTTCAAATAGAAGCCAATTGTATTCCCCATGGTAGCTCCAGAAGATTTTGACAAAATGAAGTTGGGGAAAATACGAAAAGAAGGTTGGTGCATGACTATTCAAATCCAAGAGAGAACAAATGTTGATTTCCACAAAGTTTGCTTTTATTTTGCTGATAAGCATCTTTACTCCACTTTTTGCCTACAATACATTTTGGAGTTTATGGATAAATGCAAAGAGAATCAAAAAGGGGATAATAAGAGTTTCACCAATATAATCCTTTGGTATATCCAGGTTTGCAAGGCCTTGTTAAGAATTGTACCGAAGCTTTTTGAAGTTCAGAGGCATACTCAACCGTGAAGGTCTCCGTCCCAATTAACGCAAAGGAGGAGATTGTTGGGTCATACAGATTGCATCAATTGTTTTATTATTTATTCCATGTTTTTGTAAAGCGAGTTGGGCCTATCCACTCGATTAGTTATTATTAAGGCTTAGCTATTTAAAGTGCATGCATGCACGGTATCTTGTAAGCATCCAAGTTGTAAGCCCTACACAACCTTTACAATAGCAGTTCTTCATCGAGCTCTTCTAAGGTTGTGCTTATTAATCATTCGGCACAACTTTGATCTTCTTTTTGTGTTTTTAATCTTTTACCTGTTTGAATCTAATCGATCATATAAGTTTTATTCATAAATTTTTTGACTAAAATAGGTGAGGGGTAAAATGCTCTTTTACCACACATATGGATTATTGGTTTTTAAGATTGGCACCCAATTTTTAGTTAGGTGTTAATTGTTTGATAGCACGGGTTTTTAGCAGATCTGTAGTCATAGAGTGTCCGTGGGTTTCAGCTATGTGAGGTGAGTCTCCTCACTATATAAATGGGTCGAAGGCACCAATGTCGGCCCATTATGTGTTATGTGGTATGCTAGTTCTCAGTACGATACTTGCATGGAAGACCCTAGGAGAGCCTGTGGCACCTGGATATCAGACCATGTGGGGGAGCCCATGAAATTCCAGGTAAAGACCATCGGGGAAGCCCATGGCACTTGGATATCAAACCATGTAAGGGAGCCCATGACATTCCAAGTTAACACCATAGGGGAGCCCATGGCAACTGTATGTATGATGCATGATATTTTGTGGTTGTATGTTATATGGTATTTTGGGGAACTCACTAAGCTTTTTGCTTATAGTTTTAGTTTATGTTTCAGGTAATCCAGTTTCCAATGGAAGAGCTCGGGATGATTGTAGAGCACACACCACATGTTTCCGCATTCTATGAATTACTTTGATGTAATGACGTTTTGCTAAATATTAGTTACTCTGGTTTTATGGAAACAATCTGTATCAAAGATTTATTAATCTAAAAACAAAAAAAAATCATGCCTTGATATTCAGGACATTACAAGTTGGTATCAGAGCCTTGGTTTGAGGTATTCGAATATACTCTCAGGTGTGTTTGAACTCAAACTAAGGGTTGGTAAAGTTTTGAAATGAAATGTATTTTCAAGATCTAGGATATTAAAATGGTATAGGGCATGCAATAAACCGAGTTCACGAATGTTTTCCCAAAATATCCATATATGTTATCTGCTATGATTTGATTTGTGAATCTGTGAATTTCATGCTAGTTATGGCTAAGGATCTGCGCAGTTATTGCATGATAGAATGCTATGAGAGATGCTTTTTTATGTATATTGTATTAGCTAATAGACTTTCATGCCAGCACTGATTAGTTGGTGGTAGTTTGGCCTGATGTATGATACCTTATAGCATTCGATGAATTTGAGGTTATGCTGACATGGGAATATCTATTGGAATTAGTAATTGCTAATTGCATGATTTAATAATTATATACGATTAGGATCTTATAGCCCAAGAATAATTGATTTGGCCTTATTTCCTTTTCTGTGTCTGGTTGTGGTTCTAGGGTAATGTCTATTATTCGAAGGTCTATTTGATCCTGTTATGTGTATAATTCCCATGCATAAGGAAACCGATAGTAAGGGTGGAATTTCTATCATAAGTGTTAGTATGTGGGTTGAATGTTCTATGATAGTTCTATGGATTGGAGCGTTACTACATGAATGTTGCTTGCTTTGTGCTTTATGGAATTCTTAGATGATGGGAGTTAGCTACTAAGTTATTATGATGGTATACATGAGGTGGATGACTTCCATTATGGGGAGTTCTTTAGTAGTTGATGGCAGAGTGAGTTCGGGGACCTACGAGAGCCTAGGAAGTACTTTAGTGGGTTTTATGGTGTGGTTTAGAGAGTTTCGGTGCATCAGTTTGAGTGGGTGATTTAGAGGATTTGGGATGATTCCTGAGGAAGGTATGGAGAGGTGTGGAAGGTAGTGTTGGGCTTGTACTACTAAAAGTACCTGATCTATACTCGAATCAGGGAGAGTCTTAGAGAATCTAAGAAGATGGTGGAAGAGGATCCTTGGATATGCTCTGATCATTTGCAAGTTGTATTTCATTTTGGTGATGAACAACCAGGAAACAAGTTCTAGTTGTAGTTCTGGCTTAGGTGAAGGCACTAAGTCGGTTAGCAGGAAGATGCAGGAATTCATCTCATCAGAGATCAACCATAGGATTCTAGAGTAAACTCCTATGATATTTTGTTAGTTAAGGAGGGGATTCTAGAAATCTTGGATGAGTGCTTAGATACGATCCGTGTTAAGGTTATAGCGATCGTCAGACGTTGCACTTTATTAGTCTGCGAGCAAGAGGTCAAATTGGAGCACCTAGGAAAGATGGGGGCTAGATCAAGTGCATGTGGTGGATGGTCCCGGGAAAAGACCCACGACTTTTGATCAGCGTTTAAGAGGCCAGCAGGGTCGAAGTCAGTGCAACACATGCGGGAAACTACATGATGGATCTTGCCGTTCCATGGGTATGGGTTGCTACAAGTGTAGCAGTATTGTGCATGTCAGCATGGATTATCCTCAGAGGACTAGCCCGTTATGTTTTCTCAGCAACGAAGTGGGCCACAAGAGGGTTGTGTGTCCGATGAGGATGAGAGGAGCAGTGAGTGCAGTTGCTTCGACTATTTTTTGAAGTTATGATAGTCATGAATTAGCTATTCATGTCTAAAAGAAAGTTGTAATACTCGGAAATACCTACGCGTGGATATAAAGAACATCAAAAATGGTGCTCGTATGCAAAAGTTACGAACTTCCGAAGATGTAGCCCCAACAGAGAGGAGTTGGTCATTTCAATGTCAAGGCAGTAGTCTCGGCAGAGAAGAGTTGGTCATTTCAGTGTCAGGAAGGGAAGGTTGGTGCGCCATCAGATGATTTTGCGAGTATGTTATCTTTTTATTTTCTTACTTTGTTACCAATATTTATGTTGCTTGGAATGTTATATATCTTTTGGGTAAGCTTTATCGTTGATTTAATTCTCTGTTATTGAGGGGTTGTATCGAGTATAAATGGTTCCAAACATCCAATGTGTTCTGTTGTTATTTTGGTGTTAGGTTGAGATCACTTCAAGGGTATTGTGTGGAAGGTCATTAGTTAGGATTCATCAGATTGGTTCTCCAGTATTCGTCAGGGTTCAGCGGTTTTAGTATTTGTTCTGGTAGGAGCGGTGGTTGCATCTGGAAGAACTGTTGGGTTCTAACACTGTCGTTACTAATAGAGGGGCGGTAGCAGGAAGGTCATGGCGTTAGTTTCATCCGTTATTTGGTCATTAGAACTGTGATGGGAGTTTTATTTTTCCTCAAGTTTCAGTCGATTAGGATTCAATGATTCTTCAATAGTGGGAGTTGGGATGAAGATTTGTCAGTTCAGTGGAAGGTGATGGTTTTTAGTTGCCATCATAAGGACTCAGGAAATTGGTATTGTATCATGGGAGGTGATTCGGATTATCATGCAGATTAAGGTTTCAGGAGTAGAGTGATCATTAAGTAATGGAATACTAGTATTGATTGAACGGTTGTAGATGGTTCATGCTATTTGAGGTAGGTGGGTCAGAGATCTACTAGGATTATGAGGTGGGAGAGCTTCTTCGAGTCCAAGTAGGGGAGATGTAAGTGGTTGTTCAAGTTTAGGTAGTGTTGATGGGAGTTCATGAAACTTCCAATGGAAGGTTGGAATCTCCTATGTTATTCATAGTAGGTTGTGGGATTCGAATGCGTGACCCGAACTCCTGAATGGTTACAGGAATTGGTTCAGGATGTGTGGTGTGGAGATGGTTTGAGTGTGTTAAGGCCATTGATGGTAACCATAGTTGGTTGCAGGTGTTGTAAGAATGCGATGGGGATCATAGTATTCAATACGTCGTGGTAAAATATTATTAACGATGGTCGAGGGTGATGGAAAATCAATTCGTGCCTTAGGCACGTTGGTCTGGGTTGTCGAGGAGTATCCTTTGTTTTGGGTTGTGGGCCGTTGGAGTTCAGGGCGGAGCCAGGCATGTATAGCTTTAGTTGAGTAGTACTCGTGGCCAAGGCCTATGTAATTATGTTAGCTCAAGTGTGTACTGGTATACACCCTTAGGTCAAAGTGTTGGAACTTGAGTTGCAGGATCATGTGGGGGTTCAGTGTGCGATGAAAAGGGGTTTTAGGATGGGTAGCCTTATTGTTTAGAATCGTGGGAACTTGGTGGTTGGACCAAGTGCGAGATTGGTTGTCTCAGACATGGCTAGGGAGTAATTATTTATTGTTCAAGTGAGGGGTCGCTGGAAATCAGAAGGTTATGGTGTGAAATGCAACAAGATGTATGGATATCAGGTC